TCTTACACTGCTAAATTAGGGACGGCTAGCGCAGATAGCCCTCGTGTAGCTTTGCGCGAAATTCAAAACAAACAAACAAACAAACTATAGGGAGAATCTATTCTTCGTCAGTAACTTTGGACTAGGTTTTATATAGTGTTGAAGTGTTTATTATATGTATATATATGTATGGTGTTTTGAAGTGTCTTTTACTCACCACACTATCCATAATGTTGAAGTGATGGACTAGAGAGAAGGCAGTTAATCAAACCACCCCCCGCGAATTCTAGAGCTATTATTGTCAGACAAAATAGTGGGATATGACCGTTACTTCTATAGCGTACCTAGGGCGCCAAAGTGCTGAGGGCGATTCTTTTGTTTTGTTTTAGCGACAACGAGAAGCGAACCACGGAACCTCAGCCCGAAACGCTAACCACTGGGTCTGCGCTCAACACACGAATAAAAATAATAGTTACCTACTTCAGTAATTTGAATCTAGATGTCAGCTTACACTCAAAAATAACATTAGTTTTACAGGATCATCATAAAAGGACGTTTAAATATTTGATTGTTTACATAAGTGGATAATCAACGAGTGAAGTTTCTCACAAATAACTGTTGGTTTTGTGGTCTTTATAATAGAAACCATTAGTGACGTTTCGCACATATAGGTGGAGTCATTTCCTGGCTTATCGTATTAGTAGCTCTATGACTATAACAAACACTTGCTGGGATAATATGGTATTAGTTATCTGATACAAACTAGACTGAGTAACATAACCCTCCATAGATCAAATATCATTACACTTGACCACACAGACCACTATTAACGCATTACACTTCAACCACACAGACTACCAGTAACGCATTACACTTGACCACACAGACCACTATTAACGCATTACACTTAACCAGACTACTTGAAACGCATTACACTTGACCACAAAGACTACTAGTATCGCATTACACTTGACCACACAGACTACTTGTAAAGCATTACACTTGATCAGACTACTTGTAACACATTACACTTGACCACACAGACTACCAGTAACGCATTACACTTGACCACACAGACTACTTGTAATGCATTATACTTGATCAGACTACTTGTAAAGCATTACACTTGATCAGACTACTT